AGACTTGCTGAGGGTGCACTCTACGCCATCTTCCAGGTCATTGATGAAGACATTGAACAAAAACAGCCCTAGGACCAACCCCTGAGGCACTCCATTCCACACTCTCCCTTTATGACACTATCTCCACTCTTTTTCTGTTATGTGATCTCACACAGTATCAATAACTTGCATGTAGAATTTGAACAATTCAGCTCTTACATTTTAAAAACACACAGATGCTGGTTGTATTGGTAACTTTAAAAAGAACACTGTAAAATTATTAAAAGGTGTAAAGTAAGCAGGGGAATTGAGTCATTATTGATTCCAAGATGAACGTGAGTCATCAATGCGACGAAGCGATTAGTAAAGCTAACCAGGACTCATAGTAGAGATGATATCTTTTATTAGACCAATAAGATTTTTGCTAAAAAATTTCTTAAATCAGGCACAAACACCCTTCATCAGGCATTAGAGAAAAGATTGTAAAAGTTCTCCTGGGTTGAAATGAAATTTCATATTTCATAGGATTTCACAGAGAAGTCAATAGATTCACATCATCACAGGAGGTGAGAGGTTCCTGTGAGGCTTCATACCAGCTGTGAACTGACTGCCCAGAGGAGTTTTCCATCTATTGACGATCTACTGCAAGTCCTGATTGCTTTTTTCTCTAGACCAATACACCTACAAACTTGATACCTGATACACTAAAGCTAACTGCACTTTATCATGTATTAACGGGTGCATGGCAAACAGGTCCAGGGAGGTGATATTTCCCCTCTATGTGACATTGGTCAGGTTGCAGTTGGAGTACTGCATCCAGTTTTGGGTGCCACACTTCAAGAGGGATGTGGACAACCTCAAGAGAGTTTAGAGGAGGGCCACTCGTATGGTTAGGGGCCTGCAGGCAAAGCCCTATGAGGAGAGATTCTAGATCTCTTCAGCCTCTGCAAGAGAAGGCTGAGAGGTGATCTTGTGGCTGCTTACAATTCATCAGGGTGGGGCAGCAAGGAATTAGGAGATGTTCTGTTTACCAGGGCACCCCTTGGAGTAATTGGGAACAATGGTCACAAATCGACGGAGAGTAGATTTAGGTTAGACATCAGGAAGAACTTCTTTACTGTAAGGGTTGCCAGAATCTGGAATCGGCTTCCATGGGAGGTGGTGATCTCCCCTACCTTGCGGTTCTTTTAAGAGGAGGCTAGACATGCAGCTGGCTGGGGTTGTCTGACCCCAGTGCTCTTTCTTGCCTGGGCAGGGGGTCGGACTCAATTATCTGCTGAGGTCCCTTCTGACCCAAACATCTCTGAATCTCTGAATAGAAAATGATGCCTGTCCTTTCTGATTTTCTTCCTTATGACCAATGCATTCAATGATCTGACACCCAGCAGCGAATTTATAATAGTTAAATGCTGTGGAATGGGAGTGATTGGTGCAATGAACTTTAGATTGTGGCAGATTTTAAAGAAGAATAAAGTATCTTCTTTGGTAAAATACAATAGATTATTTAAGCAAATATGTAATTTTTTGGATTTACCAAAACATGAGTTTTGGTAAATATTAGGTTTTATGCATGATCCATCACTAACAAAGAGTGATTGCCGTATGTAAACTATAAATTCTGCTTGATTGAAAATTTTTGATAAAAGGATTGAAACGGGAAGAAGCAAATGGAATCAGAAAGAAGGAAAATGAACTGGAAGAGCAAAACTAAGGATTTAGGACAGTCTAGGGGGCAGGGAAATTCCTGGATTAGGTTATCACGCAAAAAGAAAACCTAGTTGTTCATAATTTTTAGGAATATTTTTTTAACAGACATTAAATTATAAAATAAGTAACATGAGTGGGTTTTTTTATTTCAAAAGATCGTAAAGGAAGCAATATTGAAATATAATTATAAGTCCTACAAATCAGAAAATGTAAAGTGATATCACAGTTAAGATTTCTGCTGGGTCCTTAGTTTAGTTGATGGAATCTGGTTAATCAAGAGACTACTACACCAGTGAGTCATATAATTATGCTTACTATTTTATATAATGCTTTACATGTTGAAATATTGTACAGATATTAATCATAGTTATTTGCAATGCAGTGCCTAATCACAGCCTTTATTGACTCTTAATTTCCTTCCTTTTATTGGATTAACTAAAATCTTTAACAATTTATTTCTGTTATGAAAATTTATATTTTACTTGATTTTTAAATTCATGCTTTCTTCAGTGAGTTCTATGAAGAACTTAAGCACGTGCCTAATTGGAAACTTTGGTTTTCCTATTGAAGTCAATCAGAATACTTTTTGTGTTAAAAGTTTAGGCACATGCTTCATTACTTTAGCTGCATATACATGTTCAAATGATCTGGAAGAATTCTCCCAGGTTTGTTCTCCTGGTTTAAAAAAAAAAAAAAAAAAAAAAAAAAAAAAAAAAAAAAAAAAGTACCTGGGAGACACCTGAACAGACATTTATATGCTGAGCTGTTGAAGGGCAGAGAGTTTACAGTGCTGATGCTGCATAGCCAGAGGGCCCTTGTGCACACCTCTCAGAATGCTTTGCAGACTCTCTCAGTCTGCCTGGTAACAGTTGGCAGCAGTACACAGAACAGTCCTGACTGGCTGAACCAGACTGCCTTGCAGTCTCACTGCAGCACAAAGTGGGGATTGTGAAAGGGGGTTTGTTCTGCTCCCTGCTTGGCTAGGGCAAAGCAGTCCAAGCTGAGCAACGTGCTCTTTCCTGGGCAGGAGGGTGGTAGACAGGAGCAAAGCACCCTGGGCTACTGTGGCTTCTCTCAGAAGAGAACACTTACAGATATTTGCTCTCCTAGGGGAAGCTCTCAGGAGTGATTAACTCTGGTTGTTCCCAAGTTATTTTTCTCCTGGAGTAGCCATTTTTGCTCTGAGAAAAAAATACTGAACATCTGCAACACATGGTTTCTCCTGGGACAGCAGCAATTCTCTCAGAAGAAACTAGATGTCTGTATGTGGCCTTTGATCATACAAGATTCAAGTGCCCTCAGCCCCTGTTTACAATAGTGGGACTTAAGAACCACAGCATTTTTCAAAATTGAACCCTTTGCTCAGAGGAAAAAAATTCTTATATCAATAAACTAACAGTTAAAGATACAAAATGATTTCCTTATTTCCAAGAAATTGTAATGTAAGGCTTAATTTTTGCTAATGCTGATGTACATAACTTCATGCTTCTGAATTGTTCCACTGAGGTCATTGGGTCTTGGATGTAAAGATTACCCGTTGTGACTTGTTTGAGTTTTGAGCATATATGTTTGAAATTATATATTAGATCAGTGTTTCTTAACCTTTTTGGACTGAAAGCACCTCTCCATAACTCCTGTGAGTTGAGTGGCACCCAGGTTCAGAAACTAATTTATATATTACAAGGTTTACCTCCTTTCAGAGGGGTTGGGCAGTGGGGGAGGGGAATTAGCCAGGGAGAAACAAACCTGAACCTATACTTCTCTTCTTATCTCCTCACACCTTTCAGATAAACTCACTGTACCCGTGGGTGCCTTGGCACCCTGCTTGAGGATGACTGTGTTATAGTAAGGTCTGAAAATGAATAGTTTTTCACTGTAAATTAATGAAGATAAAACATTTTACCCTGCTACCACCACTTTTATCAATGCAGTCCAGTCTGTGTATGGCTTTTGTTCTCAAACCATTCTGGTGTATAGTGTTATCACATAAATAACACATTCAGTGTTGCTGTATGGAAGATTCTGAAGCAGTTGCCTTTAAGAGTTAGAACTTCTAACCGTGTTGTGGTATTTAGTGTCTTATTCCATTTTATTTATGAACCACTATTTGAACCTCTCAGTTATGCTTGTATATTGTCCCTTACTTTAGATATTATGATCTAGTGATCCTCTCTGGCCTTTAAATTCTTTGAATATTTTGTCAGCTATGAAGGATATTATTGATTAAATGTTTGTAGTAATGTTTAACTGGTCAACTGCACAGTTATTTCTGGTAATAAAATCAACAATGGATGTTCAGAAAAAGAAAATGTGTTTTTTCACAAAATGGCTAGATATAAATTTTTAGCCAAGGAGTGTTCCTGAAAATGTGAACATATTCAAATTATAGTTCCTCTTATTGCCTTTTGTCACATGTATGTGTTTATACAAAATTGTATTTACTCAAATACAAAACAAGGTTTTTTCCCTGATCAACCTTGGGGGGAAAAGCCCCTCATTTTACATTAATACACAAGGAAATCTCACTAAGTACGTTGTCTGTCTTTAAATTGCTGCCAATTTAAACCAGAATGTATTCAGTAACAGAAATCAACTATGAAGTTGATTTAAATGCAGCCAACACTGAGCATGACTATAGAGCACATGGTTTATACTGGGCAAACATGCTGATGGGAACCTACCACAAGGATAGGTTAGCGCAGCCCATCTGGGTAAGATGCATGGTAGCACCCAGTGTGCTCACTTCCCCTCAGCACCAACCCTTTTTCAAGTCATGGTGAGCCACTACATTGAATACTTTTTAACTTCTGCTTCACTCCTGCAGCTGAGTTGTGCTTTTCTTTCCCATTTGTAGATTACTATGGGCATGTTTATTTCAAAGCTAGTGTTTTCAAATTTGCTCCTCGCTTCCTGGTCGTCAGGGAAAGCAGGGTCTGACAGTAAGCGGGGGAGGGAAGTAGCTGGGGAGAGGCAGAAGGCAACAGGGCTACCTGACCCTCCCTAGACTTGTTTTTCCCTGCTATAGCAGTGGTAGAAGGAGAAATTCAAGGCAAACCTCTAATAATTAGAGTTTATGCCTGGAAAATTATAACAAATTTATAAATTTTCCATGTATAGAAACTAATTATTGAGGTGGGGTGGTCTTATATTCAAGTAAATGTGGTAGCTTGCGTTTATACCACAGTTTAATTAACTTTTTTTTTCCAGAAAATGTCTGTTTTTGTAATTGCTGTTTCCTTCAGTAATTCAGTTCTTGGGGGTTAAAGGTGTTTGTCAAACCACAAATATTAAAAATCCATGCTTTTTTATTTCAGGTATTTGGAAAAGTATGAGAAAGTACATCATTTTGGGGAGGATGATGATGAGGTACAACCAGGCAATCCAAAGCCACAACTTCCTATTGGTGCAATTCCATCTTCCTACAATTACCAGCAACACAGTGTGTCAGGTAAAATTTTTGAGGGGGGGAAAATAGTATTTATAGTTTTTGTTGTGTAAGATGGGACAGGCTACTCAGTAGTTTCTAGATGTATTTATAGGTTTATTAAGAATAGCAGCTTCTTGAGTAAGTCAGATCATTATCTAGTGCAAACTAAATCATTTCCACTGTCAAGCAAAATAAAACAAACATAAATCTATAAGTAATTGCACACACCTGTGCTCCAACAAGTATGGGTAAATTGTTACCTGCCTTCAAACAGACTTCCTTGAACATCCACAATTTAAAGATCTGTTCTGCCAAGGTAAAGAATTAGTTTAGGAGTTTTTCCTTGATGAATTTCTTCGTAAAATTTCTAATTGTTTAATTCTGAAGTCAGCTGATATCAGCTCTTAGGTCAGAACGTGAGAAACCCAGAAGTCAACAGGGCATCCAGAATCTACCACATGGGGATTTGCAGATGAAAATGCAAATCTGGATTAGAATCCAGAAACCAATTAGAAGTGGATGTCATCTCTGCAGTTTAAGCATAATATATTTTTTATAAAAATCTGAGTACTTAGAAAACTGCTTTCAACTTGAAAACCACTTCGAACCTTCAGTTTTAAGGTAAAGCATAATGTAGTTTTCAGCTCTGAAATGAAAAAAGGGACAAATATGTAGCTGGCCTTATTCGCATCCAAAGAAGGAAGACCCTGATATTCTTGCTGAAAGCAGATAGAAAAAGAAAAAACCCTGAGACAAATTAAATTTTGGGAAATATGCTCAAGTTCTATAACCCATGTGCTAAATACAGTTATCAGTTGTTTACTTATTCTGTTAATATGAGTACTTGTTTTATTGGCTCAGTTTTAGAAACATTGTTTTCACTTTTTTTTTTTTGTTAGATTACCTTCGTCAAAGTTACGGGCTGTCTATGGACTTTAATTCGCCAAATGACTATAATAAATTGGTGCTTTCACTGTTATCTGGACTCCCAAATGAAGTGGACTTTGCTATTAATGTGTGTACTCTTCTGTCAAATGAAAGCAAACATGTCATGCAGCTTGAAAAAGACCCTAAGATCATCACTTTGCTGCTTGCTAATGCTGGGGTGTTTGACGACAGTAAGTATATAACATTTTCACAAGCCAAGCAAGAGGATTCAGATACATACATAGTTTTAAATAACCATCAGTTTTCATGTTCGGTAAAATTTTGTTTTTGACTGAATTGTAATAAAGTTGATGCTTAGTTTTCTTTTTTAATTATTCCATGGTAACTTGTGCTTTGTAAGTGTTACATAACTTTTTTAGTTCCGGTAACTTAAAATATATTTATTCTACCGAAAGTTAATATCATGGAACACTAATTTTAGTAAAACATAAATTAGATTTTTGGTGGTATGTTTAAATTATTTAAGTAGTAGTTATAATATTTTTAGCATTAAATTTATGTTGAGATCCTAATGTTAAGATTTGTGTGTTTTCTGGTGAAAACCTAGGATCCTGATTATTTTTTAAAGATACGTGTTTAGTATAACTTACAAAATACAGCATCTCATAAAAATGACACCAAATTGGAATTCTGATAGAAAGAGGTTTTTCTCAGTTCCTTAATAGAAGATCTAGAAATAAAAACTCTAAATCATCCAAATGCTCAATCTTGGTTTAAGAAATACTTAGTTGAGATGCTTGCATTTTACTATTTAAAGAAAATTGTAAATATTTCCACAAAAATATTTCAATATCAAGATCTATGTTGTGTAACAAGCATGTGGCCTCCTGGCCAACCTAGATTTTGTTTACTGGAGGTTTTTTGGTCAGGAAAAGGTATAGCTAAAATATTGTAAAATCACCTAAGTGTCAATAGGTAGAACTTAACAACTCCTGTATGAAACTTTTCTGTCAAGAACTAGTAACTTCAAAGGTAAAGCTGTTTAAGCAAATTATGAAATATGCATTTTTTAACTAACGGGTATTTGGAAGTCTCTTAGTAATCGGTATTTGTGAGTGCCTATGTACAGACTCACAAAATGATGTGTTAGAGTCACTGTCTTTGTGAGATATTATACTATCAACTTTTTAAATTAAAATAAGTTTTTACTTAATCATTTTTAATATGTAATATGTCATTTTTGTAATCTGATGTTAATTCTGGTCTAATTTCTCTCCGTTAGATTTTTCAGATTATGTATGTGTGTTTTCTTAGTAGGATGTTGTTCTACAAGATTAAACTATTCCTCACACGTACCCAGACCAAAATATTGTCTGACTCTGGGCCAGTCGCAAGGACTCCCAGGTACAAGAAATGATTCAAGAGAGGCTGAATTTAAATCTGATATCCTAGTTAGTGCTTCCAAGAGGCCCATCCTTAGTTTCTGAATTTAAATTGTTGTTGTGCTGAGTCAGGATAATTGTTTCTTCAAAATCACTTTTATAGGGGAAAAAAACCTATAAATGGTGCTTCAGCAGTTTTTGGATGTTCTTTTGTTTTGTGACTTCTTGGACACTGAAAGATTGGAGAGCTCTTTCTCCTGTTTGCCTTTTTAAGTCAAAACTATGATTTTTGTATGGTTGTTTCATAACTGGCCTACTAGTGATACCATGCTAACAGTCTTCCTCAACTGAAAAGCACTGAAACGAGGACTAAAAGTACGAGGATAGTACTTTTTCTATAAAGGAGAGGCAAATTTATAGTGTTTTTTTCTATTGTTGGGGGAATTATTTTTTACATCCAGCAATGAAGGTCTCAGCAAAATATAAGACTGATGTGCCATGTTTCACCAATAATACCCTGTAGCAGGGCACTAAGGTGCCTGCTACTCTTCTGAGCAATGAGGAAGGAGCCCAGGTGCTGGTTGCTAGGGCAACCGGAAGGAGCCAGTGACTCATACCTGTCAGCGGTCAGCTGACCGGAAGGGGCATGGCCTGGCTCCCATGTAAACCCCAGAACTGAGTTCAGGGAGGCAGTTCCCCAATCTTGGGCCATACCTACAGTCTGGCCTCTCCTCTTAGCTCAGTCTGGCAGAGCTTCTTCCCCTCTGGTTGCCAGCAGGGAACTGCCTCCCTGTACTCAGTCCTGGGGTTTAAGTGGGAGCCAGGCCCTGCCCCTTCTTGTCATCTGACTGCTGACAGGTATGAGTCACTGGCTCCCTCCGGTTGCCCTAGCAACCAGCACCTGGGCTCCTTCCTCATTGCTCCCCAGAGTAGCAGGCACCTCAGTGCCCTGCTACATACCTCATTGCTGACTTTCTGGATGTGCTGCACTTAGTTGTTGCCAAATACATTTGGGTTCCCCGGGCCTTGGTCCTAAGCACCTGAAAATGGGACATAATCTTCATTCAAGAATATAACTCGTTATTTATCCAGTTTTGCAATCTGTCACTCTGACAGAGATGGAAAGTTTTGGCATTTAAAAAAAATTATTTTAAGCTTACTTATCTCTGGTTTTTTATATTGTGAATTTATAAAGCAGAGATGATGTTTTCCTATCAGTTTTTATGGCACCTAAAAGAAAGGAACTGCAGGCCTAGTTGTTTTAATCGTGAGCACTCTATACAGCAGTAAATCTTTTGGTAATTAAGCAAGGAAATCTAACTGTGGATTTAGGTTAAATTTGCATAGCATCATTATTTTAATTTTGTGAAAACAATTTTAGGTGTAAATTAAGATTGCTCATGGCTTATCTAAAGTTAGTATGGGATTCAAGAAAGTTCAAATTTGGCATACCTATAATGCAAAGTTTGCTGCTGCTGCTTATTATGATTATTATTTGCTTTTTGTGATGCATGGTATTTTTGCTTAATTTTGTTACCATTTTATGTTTGTTTCATTTTATATTTTTTAGAAAAGAATTATATTACATGTGGTAGGACAGCCTTCCCCTCCTTTTCAGAAGTACTCTCTCAGTATTTTGAAATTAGTGATTCATTTTTAACTTAAAACTCTACAATGAATTTTGGAAACACACTAATATAAAACCTTCTTCCCATTGGCAAGTAAAATCCTGCTAAATAACTTGTTTACATCCTCAAAATATTTACGCCTTGCTACTGAAGCTGTAGAAGTTGCGGTCTTGGATTCTTTGGGCATGTCTACACGTGTATATTAATATGATGCAATGAACTCTGGTGCTTACCGCACCAGAGTTCATTGCTCCCTGGGCATGCATGTAAATGTGCACCCGGAATTGTAGCATGTTGAGCCCTGGTAGCAGTTGTGGCTGGCAAGAGACCCAGAGGGTCAGCCTGTCAACCTGGGGCTGCTTACCCCGGGTCAGTGTGCTGCCAACAGGCTGGTTAGGGCATGGCCAGCAGCCAGCCCCCGCAGTGAAGCACCCTTGTGTCCCAGCCAGCAGGGGCAGCATTTACATATGCACTGCTGCAGTTTTTTACTTTGCAGTGGGGATAATATTTGTTTTTACAAATACTGTCTTGCTGCAAAGTAAATTAGTTTACTCTCCAGCCTTATAGGCCGCACACGTAGATGCATAGCGGTTACTGCGCAGCTAATTCATCTACTATGCAGTAAATGTCTCGTGTAGACATGCCCTTTAAGGCCACGTTCAGATAAGTGTGGATGTTTGGTTCCCTGGGAACAACTAGCAGCAGCGCACCTTGTGCCGCTGCTACTTATCTCTGGGGAACGCCCATGCCACATGCACTTTGGCGCATGGCAGGTTACCCTGGGTAGGGTAGGGGAGGCTGGAGCCAGAACTGGGCTGACCCCAGCAGCCTTACCTGGGGTCCAGGGGCTTTCTGCAGCAGTAGTGATTCTGTCACACAGAGCCTGGCTGGCAGCTGGATCATGGCTCTGGCTGGCCTGTCTCTGCTATTGAGCAGTACACGCTGTCCTTGTGTGCGCTGCTCGCTTTTTTTTTTCCTTTTTTTTCCCATGGGTTTTGTTTTGTTTTGCTTTGTTTTGTTTTGTTTTTTTGTTTTTTTTGTTTTTTTGACCCCTGGATATTGACGTCTGGTTGTATAGTATGTAACACTGGAGACATGTTTGCAGTGTCACTTCCTGCATGGCTATGCTCATCTGGACATGGCCTAAGATGCCAAGTGTTGCTTTATTTTGTAACATTTTTCACACATCAAAAATTAGGAAGAAGGTTCTATTTTAATATTACTTCATATGATGCTAATTAATTATATATTTCCAGAATGCTAAATAGTTCTTTTCGTGTTAGTTAGAATCTGGTGAACTGTATGCAGTCTTTGCTGCTTTCAAGAAGCAATAGACTAGAAAGACTGTAGCATTGGTTTTACCAGAGGAGCCAAGATTTACCAAAAAGATTCTGGTAAAATGCGCGCATTTCTTTTAAGTAGCAGTGATGTCCAGACATTTTTTTTTGTTGTTGTTAAATTCCACTACAGGTTTTTTTCCTTAATTTATAGTTCCAGTCTAAACTAGGAATACTTTTTACTTTATTCTGTGCATAAGACTTAAAACTAAACAGTCACTTCATACTATTGAAAAAAACTCCAGAAAAGTATTTCATGGCTATTCAAGGCTTTTCAAATATTTACCTCAAAATAGGCTGTAATACTTCTAATTAGTGGGTTGAATATACAGAAATTGAAATTAGGGTGGCTTGCTACAATTTACTGTACAGGTACACTAGGCAAAAATAAACATTGTGAGTGGTCTGTAATATTATTGGATTTTATTTGGATTATGGATTACTAGAAAATCAAATGGAAAAGTGTACTTTTTTTTTTTTTTTTTTACTGAATGTTACTTTTTATGCTTAAAGCTTTAGGATCATTTTCTGCTGTATTTGGAGAAGAATGGAAAGAGAAAACTGATAGAGATTTTGTTAAGGTAATTTTAAAAATATTAAACTACTTTTAACTGTACCACGGGTGGAAAATTCTAAATCTCATAATGTACCAAAATGGTTTTAATTAAAAGGTTACTTTGAACTATGCTCAAGCTTTATACCTTTTCGGGAAATATGGTTGGCTGCGAAATCA